GGCAGGAAGTTTGGGGAGCTGCACGAGAAGCGACCTTGCAATGTCGCAATGAACACAAGGCCAATAATGATGATGAGAGTATATGTAATAATGATGTTGCTGTTTGGTGTTGTTGCAATCGTTGCTTGTTATAATTTTGCCGACTAACTGTTAACTGGTGTGGACTTGGGCCGCCCCCAACTGCATTCCAACACGCCAAGGTAAAATGTGAATAAACTTATCTAACTGCATGTTGCATGCCACTTTGTGGCAAGAATGGCAACAACAGTATTGCAGGGCCATTAAATTATTGCTAATAATAATGCAATTTGCAACCGTTCTTTAGACGCTTTAAACTGAATTGCATTGGGAGATCGTCCAATTTGTTGCTAGTCAAGCAAATTAGTTACTGTTTGAAATGTAAACATAATGGGTACAAGAGTTATATATACATATAAATTACAAATATGTACTGCATAATTTAAAGAATAAATATGAGCCATTTTGGGTATAGTTATTAGTATTACTCTAAAACATTGCTGACATAATTTTAAGCCAATATTAATAGAAATGTTGGGTTAATTAGTTTTCAAATCTCTGGGAAACCCTGTAAATGAAAAATAAAGACAAAGCTTTCATTAATTAATCATTCATTCATTGATTAATTTATAATTTTTACAATTACAATTAAAACTACATTTTTTAATTTTAATTTGGTCCAAAATTTAAGTTTTTTGGCGTGAACTTTGAACTCCAAATTTTTGACATTCTGTGAGCCGTTGGTTTTGTTGTGGCCACCTCGTACAAATGCAAATGAGAAAGGTAACTTAATGGAAACTAATGGACACACGTGATAAAATCAACTTCCGCAGGATTACAAAGTCAGCGCCCTAGAGTCGGGTTCACCAAACAAAGTAGGAGTCGATATCGGGTTCTTGGGGTCAATTTTTAAACCGGCAGCTGCCGTTGCGCATGCGCGGACAACGAAGCTGATGGATTTGGAATTGCTATGGCAACAGCAAAGAGGAAAACAAATAACAACCGGGTAGAGGCGTGGAAAGGATAATGTGTCGAGGGTGAGGGCGAACTCTGGTTGCCAGACTGTGCAAGCACACCTAAGATACAGCTCTAAAAGGATTTACAGATACTTTATGTTTACTTTAATTGCTTTGTCTGCCAGCGCCACGCGTCACCTTCTCTCTCTTTCTCTCTCTCTCTCTCTCTAAGTGGATTTTAATATTGGTCTTTTGGGTGTTGTTGTTTGACTGCGAGATTGCAGCAGCTGTTGCCAAATTACACATCAGCCATCAGTTGCCGCTGTGCGCACAACCTTGCCAAAAAGCTAGCAATTGCCACATCCTTTTTGTTGGCTGCACGAATACAAAACCACAGCGGCAACAGCAGGACTCAAATGAAAGCTATCAAGTCCAATGGCAATTAATCACACAAAACCACATAAAGCAACAAGAGTCAACTGACTAAATTCCTTATTCTAGGGGTGGCTCAACATATGTTGACGTTGCTAAAAATTAAGGATATTATCACATTTACAAAATATTCGTTGCGGTTAATATTTCTCGGTAAAAAAACTGTGATCTTTCCACAGTAAAAAAAAATTAATCTATGAAATTTAGCTTCTTATTCAATTATTCAATTTAGATTAAAAAAATAAGTCTAATTAATAAGCCATGTGTAAATGGGTATTCCGCATGGATTGCAAGTTTCAGTTTTGAATGAATGTTGAACTAAAGTCGCCTCTTAACTTTTTTCTTTGCTTCAACAGCAAACAACAACTTTTTTTTAGCCCTTCTTTGTATGCATTTTATGAGTAGCCAGCACAACAATAGTCAACCCTTAATAAAACTTAATAAAAAGTATTCACTATAGGGGACAGCTGCATTTGCATTGACCCCAGCAAAGCAGCAACTGGTCTATGAAAAGATTCAAGTTTTTTACATTTGAAGCTAATTTGCATTTTTTCGAATTGTGAGTGGAAATGTGGCCACTTGTGGACAGCCCGGAGGGTGTGACAACACTAATTGTCCGCAATTCAACTATGAAGTTGCACATATGTTTAAGGAAAACGCTGTGGAAAAAGAAAACAATATTCCAATATACCGAAAGTGCTCAATTTGTTTGCTCGTCGTCGTGTTTTGATTTATGTGCGGAGTGTTTAAGTAATCGCAACAGCTGGTTGGCCATTCGATATACTAAGTAGGGTTCTGTTTATGTGATCTTTGGCCAAGGAGTTGCAGCTCACAGCGCACAGCTTGCAGCTGGCAGCTCTCGGGTCAAGGCGTTGACTGCGTGTGGCAGGCACAAGCGAGACCTGAAGCTGTAGAACAATGCTGGCATACCACACAGTGCACTCAGCCATGCTGCTGCGGGTCACTTGGCTGCATAAGCAACCCCAAAAAAAAATAAAATTTGTATTTACCCTAACCTCCTGCCACAGCTAGTGCTATTGCAACCCCTACGCTCAGCACCACGTGCGTCACGCGCAGGCGCAGCCACTTGCAGGAACTCGGGACTCAATTCGGGAACCGGGATCCGGGCTCCCCGGCCCCGTTACAAATCGAACAATGGGCAGCGCTTTTCAGAAAAAAACCCATTAAGTGTGCTATGAACATAAATAATAACAAGAAAGAAATGCTATTTTTGATACTTCGAATTTTAAATACACTTTTAGGTGGGAATTCAACTGACCCTATAGAAATGTAATATTCTGTCTATTTTGTATATAGCATCTATCGAATAGTATAAGAATAGACTATCAAAAAGAAATAACTATATGAATATAGCTGTTCCAAAATACATTACAAAGTACACGAGAAAACTGTTATGCTCTCAACAAGGGCATTGTTAGCAGTAAATACTCATGTGTACATTGTTGTAAATGGCAGGAAATGTGCACTTGAGTGCCAGCAACGACAGCAACAAGAACAACAACAACATCATCAGCAGCAGCAGCAGCAGCAGCATCCACACACAGCATCAATAATTGCTCTTCGCTGCATAAAAACTTCAAATTACAAGAACAACAAAATAGCTGAAAGCAAAAACACATTATTCACAATTCGATTTTACAGCAGTAAAAAATGTGACAAACAACAAAAAAATGAATAACAGCAGCTGCTTGCATTTTTTACTTATTATTTAATTTTAGTTTAGTTTTTCTTTTGCAGTGCAATAATTAAAATTGCATTGCAATCTCCGTAAAAGACTCGCGCGTAGGCTAAAACAAACTAAACAAGTTTGAGACATTTGAGATGTTGGTCTCCATTTTCATTGCCTTGACACATAGACAGAGTGTGGCGCCAGCTTTATAAAAAAGCGATATCTATATTTATATATATATATATATATATATATATATATGAACGATCACAGATTAACTAATACGAGTTTAGCTGGCGGACAACATTGGGTTTCATTTGCAGACCGAGATCAGCACTTGGCAGCTGATGAATACTGTGTTGACTTACAAATGATTTATGCACATTGCAATACTAAATTGCTATATAAATAATTAAAGAGTGGGTTTCATGGATTCGATATTTGTGAGAAAAAAGAAAAAGAATTGTTCAATTAATAACTTATTAAAAACTAATACTTTTGATACGATATCCGCCTGTGAACTAAACCTAAAATTCATTGCCTGATTCCCGACCAACATTAAATAGCTTAAGTGACTTTTAATTGACGTCATTTTGACTCGAAAACTTCAACGATAGTCATAACTATTTGTATTGTTTTATGAGACACACTCGAATGACGCGCTATCAATAGTAAAAAAAACAATTAGACATAACCACAGGGTGCTTTCAGAGGCTACATAACAGTTAACACCCCACAGACTGCGATCACCTTTAAGCAATTCATTTGAGTTGGCTAACAGCTGACGTGGTCACATGGCTACGTAAACAGCTATAAAAGGGCGCCGCACATCCACCCCCCGCTGTTCATCACTTATGGCAGGAGGGTGCTGGGAGTATAGATCATAATGGTTGCATAAGCAATTGAGAAGTGTGGCATAATTCAGAGGAACAGCAACATCAGCAGCTCATGTCAGATCTATGCATGAAGATATAGCTCATTATGTTTGACTTACGTCTCGTTTGTTGTTGTAGATAGCTTCCAACAGCATTGCCAACTGTTGTGCTGGAAAACCGAAAAACCATGCCTGAAATTAGGGAGGCGTTCGTCCTGTCAGAATTGTGTTTGTGGCTGCTGTGAGGGTTGCAGATCCTACACAACTGTTCTAAAAATTATAGATACAAAACAAAAATTGCCAACATATGTGGCAGAGGTTAGACAGCATTACGTAAGCATTTCAATCGCTTACAGTAAACCATCTGGCATATCTGTAACATTCTTTTTTAAATTTTAGCCACGAGGCAAAGAATATTTGTTTATAATGTTCCCACGTTTTCGACACGTTCCAGAAGCTTGACGCCCGAAGCTTCAACGTCTCGGAAACGGAACATTTATCATTGGAATTCCGTAAGAAGCCCATCAATAAAACTGTCTTTTGTAAATACTCTAAACTCAACCACAAAATGCCTGGCAATCATTAATCTATTTAGCTATTTATAACCACGAATTGATGGCTTCGGGAGGCGCTGATGACTTGACAATTGCCGGCTAATTATGCATTGTCCAACGAAAAACCAGCTGCCTTCATTTTTCCAATGAAATTTGAAGACGCATCACTGCAACTGCCTTCCGAGATTAATTGGCCTGCCAAGAGATATGAACAATTACAACCAACTATCGCACTTACCGCAGTACCAATTGAATGCGGTAAATATGGAATATATTAAAGATACTTAACATATCTAATCCTATCCATCTATCATTATACATAAGTACTCAATATAAACAGAGTATAATTTCTCTAAATTTTTCTTCCAAGCCTTTTTATATCTTTAAATCAAATAAACTTAGAAAAAGTAAGCAAACTTACATAAGAAAATTAATTGTATCATTTAATTTTATATTTTATTGAATATTTATTTGCTGGCAATGGCGCAACCTATAAGAAAAATGCGTTACTATCTCATGGATGAGATTTGTATACACAATAAAAAGGAGGACTGCTGGATTGTGATTTACAGAAATGTCTTCGATTTGACGCCAATGATTAAGGATCGTCTCGATCACTGGAATTGCGTAAGACTGAAATTGAATTATAAGACTTGAGATATTTGGTATATTTTCCACCGCAGAGCATGGATTACTTGGTGGCACATGCCGGCAAGGATCTCACCCACTTGTTTCATGAGAATGGCGAGCCACGCACTGAGATCTCACTCAGCACCGGCCGTCCACGTGTGCTCTTTCCACCCATACTGGAGGTGGCCATCAGCGAATTCGCCAAGACCAAGCATGCCATGTGGAGTCAGGATCCCTTCTATCACATAGGTCGTGTAACGCGACGACCTCGGCGCATTCGACTGATTAACACGCTGACTGCAAAAGTTCAGCACATGAATGTGTGTGACGAGGATAGCATCTATGACATACAGGAGAAGTACAAGCAGCGCTTCAATCATCATGCAGGCAGCTACGAGTGGCGCAAATTCTCAAATGGCGTTAGTTTCGATATTAATTTGATGTTATTCTGATTTTATTTATAATTACTCTTTTTAGGCCAAGTGCTGTGGTGTTCTTAACTTGAATGGCACCTTAGATGAGAATGGTCTCACTGATGATGAGGATTGTGATGTGGAATTGCCGCCGCCATCCATCTGGCTATACTACACTGATGACCTGACCATTGCTTGATTGGGTTTTGCAATTTGTTTACCATTATTGCCGTTTTTTTGGGTTATTCGAAAATTGGTTGTGCATAGTGCAAGTAAAGGGCACATTTCAAGCTACACTGCGTTTGAGTCGAAGAGGCATTAAAACATCAAAACTAAGCTTGGGCATGGGACTGCTTCTGGCTCTGGTATTATATGGTATTTATTTTTATTTTGAACAAATGTCATGGTCGACATGCGCTGCTAATAATAACAAACTGAAAAGTGCAGCGGACTTATTCAGGGCCACACTGAGATAAATTTTTGGGTGTTGAAATAAATACTTTTGCTTCAAAAATTAAATACGGACGATATTTATTATTGATGGGGATATGTTTCTAGTAAAATAACTTAATTGTCTTCTGGCATTTCCTATGTAATTTATATTAATGTATATATATATATTTATGCACCATTTTTTTCTCGGCTTAAGATTGGGTTTAATAAACTCATAAAGTCGCATAATAAACTTAACCAGTTAAGTAATCAAAAACTATAGAGCAAGCATAGAATATACATAATAAGGTAGATGCTACACTTTTATATGTATAGGCATTCTTATTTTTCAGTGTATGTAATGCATGCTTAAAATGTGCCTTACTGCTCCTGCTTGCTTAATATATGCGGGTTTTTTATATTTAGACTTTAGGGAAGAGGTAGGGGCTTTGGGCTGTTAACTCGTGTATGACGCTAGACAGCGCCTGCAGCTGCCCAGCTGCCCAGCTGCCCAAGTGACTACCGGCTACCCCTCGTGGTAGTAGGTGACGCTGGCACGCGTTATGGCCCGCCAGCAGTTGCGCCTACTACATATTACAGACTGAGTACTGACTGACCGACCGGATCCGGAGGGGGTGCCAACTGAACTGTGAACGCTTTTTAGTGAGCTATGCCAAGTTTGTGTCTTAAGTCTTTCGTTTCAGATTCAGATTCTTGGTAGCAGCAGCACTTACAAGTCCAAGCCGCCCATTGTCTGTTCTTTTGCTATCTTGCGCGCATAAATAATTAATTTCAGCCTCATTCTTTTTAATAAAATGGATGAAAAAAAATATATGAAAAAAAAATTAAAAACACACTTTAATTGTAAACCAGTTTTTGTTGGAGTCCGCTCCAAGTTCCCTCCATAAATGGACGCGGTTGCTTTCGCAATTTACATTAAACAAGCGACGTGTGACAACAAAAGCTAGATGGCTATAATAGCCGGCCAGCCATTAATTTGCACCTGAAATGTTGTGAAATATTTTGTAAAACTAATCTCTGTGTACGATGCCCATCAGAGCGGCCTGGCTCGTTGGTACTAAAGCTAAAGCAGCGCCATTCCCACGCAACTACAAATTAACAGCTGGCAAAGGGCAGGCTAAAGGCCCAAACCAAAACAGAACAGAACGCTGCAGACAAGCAGAAACTTGTGAAATACTTGTTGCTGTCCATCGATTGGGGCAGAAAAAGATGTGCTGCTCTGCTCTGCTTTGCAGCGGTGTCAGGCAACAACAGGCACCGACTTAAGCATGAGTCACGCAGCGAACAAGTTTATGCCTGTTTGGGCCATGGGAAAAAGGAGCAATGCCTTGAGGAAGACTGTCTGGGATTGAGAACTGCTGCTGGTGCTGCTGAAAAAGGCAATGTGCCGATAAAAACAAACAAGTGCCCTTTAATGAAATGTGCCAGACTTGAAGATACCTTTTAATAAAACATGGACTGGGATTTTTCTAAGCTACTAATTTCAACACTGTGGAGAATTGATGTGTAATAACTTTAATTAAGGCAGATCATAAAAAAATTAGGGTTTGCATTCCCAAAAATACAGTCTTAATTTCATAACTTCAACTCTCTAACTCTTATAGTCTCTGGGACCGATGTTATACACAGACAGACGAGCATGCCCATGGATCAAGAATATTGTTTTGTATTAAATTGAGCACAAAGGGAGGCTGTTATGTTTATAGTGGGTGTCGTTGTACGACTATTGGCATATTACGCACTTGACTTAGGGTATAGATACATATAAACAACCGTTGCACTGTCCACTGGTGCAAAATGCGTTTGACTCTGGGGCAAAAACCAGTTTTTTGGCATGCGCGAAGTTCGTTGTCTAAGTCTTTTGTTTGCACAGACTATAAAATTCAGTCATAGAGTTCATTGGCTGCTCAAACACGCACACACACACAAATGCACACATAACTGTGAGTAATCAATTGTGACATTTAAATGTAAGTACTATGCATGCATTTTATGGTTCATAAAGTAAGATCAATAAACTTAAATATACGTTTTTATATACAGATGGTTATGTCGTTTGTCTACAAAAGTAGGAAAAGGCATTCTTGAGCTTAGATATTTAACTGAGTCATGAATATATGAATTTTTTCTTAGAAATGTAATATTTTATTAGCTATTAGTTCATTTAATGATAACAAATATATGTTAATAATTGTATTAAGTAAGAGTTACAAAAAATATTCCAAATAACGCACAACAAATTGTATCTGTACTACTCATAGCTTGAGCAACTGAATGTGGAACTGCTAGAACAAATCCTCCCACAAACTCTGTTGTCGCTCTAACAATCAACTGCAGAACAATATAAATATATTTATATATATATATATACTTCTCACTGAGCAGCAATGCCAACGACAACCCGCAATTGTTGTGTGCACCCAGAACTAAGCCACTTCAAATTGTTTGTTCTGTTAAGTTAGTTGCTCTGGTATGCGACCAACAGATACATCAACAAAAACAACAACAATAAACTGCAAGCCATGACCCATTCTCACAGGCTGAGCTATGCGTAACTAAGTTGTACGGCAATCACATTCTTTCCCAAAGCCCACAGTCCCGGAAGTTGAGCGTCTCTGGTATGCGAGCAGATAGTTCCACTGGGAACTTATCGCAGCTAAAGCGATTTAATTTTGTGTCTAGCTTTGCATAATCTGCCAAAGACTCCTGCTAGAAATAGAAAGCAGGTATAGCCAAAAAATAATAAAATTCAAAATGTTTGGCCTGAAGGTCAAGCTAAGACTCAGTTTATAAGGAAGCCTAACCCCGAAGCTGCTACCGAAATTGGCTAAACTTCCTTAATGGTAATGCGTGTCAATTTCATTTTCTTTTTAACAGCATTTTTCTTAACACTTACTGGTAACTTCCACCGACATTTGCATTTGGCATACAAAATACTTAACGTTTGTTTGGCATTCAAGACTCGCATTTAATGAATTAAATAATCAATACATATGAAAACGTATGCGACAGCAAATAGCGGAACCAAATTAGGAAGTGGCCACAAATCACCCAACTAGCCACAAGCTGCCTGCCTGAATGTCTGCCCATATTTGGGGCCCAAACAACAAACAACTGAACAATAATAACAACAACAACACAACACCAGCAACAGCAACAGATAACGACAACAAACGCCAAGTGGATATTTGTGTGGTTAGCCACCCAAAACGTTGTCATTGGCATATTAAATACCATATGATATGATACATGTAAGTTGGGGTCTGTTTGATTACCCTTCGGTTTGGTGTTTTTGAGAGGACAAATCTAATAGGATTTCATCTTTTTCACCTGGCAAAAGCAATTGAATGAAACATAAACTTACTTTTTGACTATAATTAAGATTTTTAAAAGATAAGAAAATTTAGACTAAAACTTAGATAAAAGTTAGGAACAATATAGTATTAAAACTATAAAATGTATATCAAATGGCTAATTGGTTGTTTGAGATTTTTTTAAAATATTTACAACAAATTTGACACTGAAATTTATATATATTCTAAGGTGTAACAAATAATATTAAAGTTTTAAATTGCATATTATGATTATAAAATAATTCTCCGAATTTAAATACTTTAATATTTTTGTTAGCAATATACATTTGAAATATATTCACAATTATGCGTTGCAAATATATAAGATATTCAATTTTAAAGTGTGAAAATCAAGTTGCACACAATTGAAAAAGGTTTCCAGACAAAATTAATATGCAACTTTGGCAACATGAAGAACAAAATGGATTTCATAAATTATTCAAAGCTTAACTGCTTCCGTTTTGAGTGCGAGTGTCTTCAGTGTCTGATTGACTGTCGACTGTGCGATTGACATTCAGACATTGAGCTCTTCAGGGTATGGACAGAAGACAAGAAGCTTCTACAAGTACTTAGTATACGTTGATTGGGAGTTGAAAAACAGAAGGCAGAAAACTGAATTGAGGCCTCGGGCTGGCGCTGCAGTTTGCTTGCGGTTAGTTTAGCGCAGCTGTTTGTATAAATTTCCAGCAAATAGCAGCAACAACAATAACAACAACAACAACAACCACAGCAATAACAATTTCAAATTGCTGCTGCCAACGAGTTTATTTTACATTTTATTGTATAATTTTCGGATGTGGTTTAACGGCTAACCGAAGCGAGCCACAGACGATCCAATGTACTCTGGCATAAATTAACGCGTGCACCTAAATAAAAATACAAATAAAACTAAGAAGAAGAAAAAATAAAAATAAATACATTTTTATTTACATTGAGAACTCGTCTCGGGTGTGGACCTGGGGTCCGAGTTCCGCTCGAGTGCGTCAAAGGAATGTCCCAGACAATGGGGCGGTTTTTTGAGAAATATTCTATGCAAATTGCCTGAGGACGCATAGACGAGTGGCTAGGCAGACTAACTGACTGGCGACAAAAGGGTTAAAAGTTAGCATTTAGATCTAGATTTATGGATATGACCACAATATATTTGTTGGGCGCGTTTGTTAATTACCAAACGAGCAAGCCCTTTTACGTGGAAAACTCTGCAAAATTCCACTCCTTTTATTTTCACATTTAATGTATGGTTTATTTTTAGGTGTTTTTGTTTCCCATGCAAATCGCCTGCCAGGAATCAATTAAAAAGCACACGTGACATACAACTTACTACCCATATATCATATTTGTATCCTTTTTATAGTAAGCTGGGTTGTTTTTTTAACTTCCTGTTCCCTTGGGCACCGTTAGTTTGGCCTTGCCCTTCCTGACCGGCACCGTGGGAGCGAATTTATGAATTTTCATTTCAATGAGCTCAACTTAAGTTTCATTGATTTATGTCGAGATGTGTGTGAAACTCTGCCTGCGGGCTTCAAATTGATTTTTTTTTTTTATGCATTTTGGTTTTACTCAAGTGTTCTTATGTGGCTTATCAAATTGTCAATTGTGTGCATCTTGGGGTTGATAATGATGGGTTGCTGGCCTTGCCAAAATTAAATTGTTTAAAATTTACTCGCGCATTAAATTGGATTTGATTTATGGCCG